GAACTCATGCGGAAGTGGCTTTAGCTTCTCAGTGCAGTGCTTTAACCCACTGCGCCACCAGGGAGGGCCCCCAAGGGTTTGGATTTTAAAAATGTAGGGATCCCAAGTGAAATTGTCTCTAGGGAATTCAAGAGAAAATCTATTTAATAAACTTTAAACTTATAAATATGTTTACTTCCCTCAGAGACAATGAGGGAATGACAAGTAAAGAAAGGTAAGGCAGATGTCAACAACTTAGCCTCTCTTTAAGGCTTACTCAGGAGCCCAGTGTTTGAGAAGTTTAAGCACCATGTCTATGATTCCATAAACTTAAACAAGCTAGGATGTGACAGGAATCTTTCTGAACTCTACTGTTTTGGGGGTAGGTGTGGGTACAATATTTTTTAAGTATGAGTACACTTTTATTAAAGCACATACTCCCTGACCTCTGTATTCTGAGTTATGAGATTCGAAACAGTGGGGACTATGGTCTTTCATGTTCTCATACATAGCTCCCAGAGTTAACTTCATGCACTATTAGGTATCTAGCCATTCATTTGTTCATTCATCTACTGAACACACATTTATGGAGCATTTACTATTTAGTGTACTCAAACTACACTAAGTTCTGTGGGATACACACTCAATTAGACCTAGCTCTGACTTTTAATATGCTCTTAGTGTGGTTAAACCTTTTGAATGTAAATCCAACTTTCAGGTATATAGCAGAACTGTGCTAAAAAAAAAAAAAACAGGCGTTTGAGGGCCTCCCTGGTGGCACAGGGGTTAAAGTCTGAGAACTATCAAGCTATCACCAGCCACTATGACATGAGTTCGATCCCTGGCCAGGTTGCTGACCCACAAAGCACAGTAGATCTCTCCTTTTGCCCCCTGCTCCCCTCAGTAGTGTATTTCAGTAGATCTACCTGTTCTGTTCCCCACTCTGTCTCTGGTGAATACTCTCACTCTCCACCCCCAATCCTGCACTTCTGGCCCACAATGCAGTTCTTGTATGTATAAAGAAATAAAACTAAATCTTAAAAAAAAAAAAAAAAAGATGTTTGAAGACTACTTTATTTGCCCATAATAACAGGGCATCAAAACCTAGGAGTGAGCTGAAATAGGTTAGTTAGATAATCCCACCTTTTGGTATTCAAAACCAAATCCTCACAACCGTGGCTGAGCTCACTATGAACAGCCACACCTGAGAACCTCAGGACAGCCAAAGGGGAGCATCAGCACTTTCCTTTCTGAAAGGAACGGGCTTTATCCCCAGTCACTCTGATTCTCAAGCCTGAAGGTCAGTTCTCTCTGTCAGTGGATACAGCTGCCCTGTGTGTCTCCTCTATCACAGCAAGCTACTTACGTGGCACACTGCTCCTGAGCCCACGAGAGAAGTACCTTCTTTGCAGACATCTGCCATCTCGCTTGGGCTTTGGAGCATTTCTTAGCAGGAGGACTTGAGGTAGGAGATGAGTCAGCTGCACTCATACTGTCCAGAGAAGGTTGATTGTAACTGCAAGAAAGAGTCTTGGCAAGCTCCTCGATCTAAGGAAGACACAGTAGTAGTTAACATATACAGATTCATAAGTCAATGGCATCGAAGCAAAACCTCCAGCTAAAACAAGCTCTGAAAGTATCACACGACAGTGACGATTCACTCTTGAAATTAACATTGGACAAATCTTTGACAAACAGCACTGATCACTGGAGGCTATACTTTGGATTTTTTTTTAAATGGATGTGGGTTACTCCTTGCCCTCACTCAGACATGATGTGTTAAGTGTGGACTGGGTGCCTTCCTGAAGCTCAATACTTGTCAATTTAAAACAAACTGAGGGCCGCCCTGGTGGTGCAGGTGTTAGCCTAGATACTATCAAGCTATTGCCAGCCACTGTGGCATGAGTTCAATCCCAGGCCAGGGAATGACCCATATGGCAGAGCAGACCTCTCCTGTTTCTCTCTCTACTCTCCTCAGCAGTGTGTTTCAGTAGATCCACCTGTTCAGTTTCCCACGATGTCTCAGGTGAGTACTCTCACCCCCTGTACCACTGGCCTATACCTCAGCTCTTGTATGCAAAATAAATAAAAACAGATATTTAAAAATGAATAAATATGGGCCTTCCTTGGTGGCACAGCAGGTTAAAGCACAGCATTGAGAAGCTAAAGCTACTTCAGTATGAGTTCGATCCCCACCCTGGAGGTGACCCACATGGTGTGGCAGACCTCTCCTGACCCGCCCACTACTGCCCTCAGCAGTGTACTTCATCAGTCTGCCTGTTCTGCTCCCCACTCTGTCTCTGGTGAATCCTCTCACCGCACCTGTACCTCTGGCCTGTACCCCAACTCTGTATGCATAAATAAATCTTATTAAAAAAATGAATAAATAAGACAAGCTGAACTAAGTTGAGTTATTAAAATATCTTCAGAAAGAATAAATGAATTAAAATACATCCTTAGTTATACACCATTAAGAAATATATATACAAGAAAAAAATAGACAAACACATAGAGAGACAAGAGCCAAGAAGAACTACCATAAGAATGTGAAGTGTTCTTATAAATCAAAGAACACTCAAACTCCAGTGGCAATGTAAATTAAGACAACTCTGAAAACCTATTTGTCATATCTACTAAATCTGAAGCTCACATGCCACACCCTGTGATTCATCAATTCCTTTCTTAGATATTTGCACAAAAAAAAATGAGGGCTGATATGTGCACTAAAAGGCATGCACAAGAATTTCGTAGAAGCTTTATTCGTAAGTGCTAAAAACTGCCACAAAAGAAATGTCCATGAACAGCAGAATATTAAGTTCTGGAATAATCATACAATGCTATATTCATACAGTAGTGAAAAAGAAAGACTCATCATAAATGTTTCCACAGTATGAAAATCACTGACATGACGTTAAGTCCGATGCAAAGAGCAAAGAAAAGAGTGTAATTACTCTTTATATGGAATAAAAAGTGCAAAGCCAAGCAGCAGTAGAGAGCAAAATGATAACTCTCTTTACGGAAGAAGGACAGTAGCTTGGAGAAGGACCTAGGGATTTGGGGATGCTGGCAATGCTGTATATTTTTGTCTTGGGTTACATGAATATGTTTAACTTAGGAAAATACATGGAACTCTACACTTAAGTTTTTTGTGCATTTTCTTCACCAGAAGTTTATTCCCAATATTAAAACAAATTTAAAAATACTTCCATTCTGCAACCTGTGGCCCAACAATTTCAGAATTTCAGCTCTAAGAACTGTGCGCATGGACAGAGGGAAGATTGTGTGCAAAAGTCTTAACTTATGAGTAATCCCTTGGGAATTTCTTAAATTCACCAAAAAAATGTGAACATTTTGAGATTCCATTAATGGAATACAGTATTTTACAACAGGCCTCTATGAAAATATAAAATTCAGAAAGGTGCTCATTAGAAAAGGTTGCCAGTGTATACAGCATGACCCCGTCTGGTTTAAGATACACATATATGGACATATTCATTCCCACAGCAGAGATGGCAAAGTTTGCACCAAATTATGTGAGTGAGTGGGTTTCTGTGAACAGTGGGTTTATAGAGGACTGCTTCTCTTTATTCTCTAATCTGAAGACATTCATTCTATTTCAAATATTCTATACAAAGTATGGAAAAAAAAATAAATGCCTAGGAATGATCCAGTTTTAACATTTTATCACATTTTGTTCATCTCTTTTAAAGAAATAAACACAGATACAGTTTAAGCCTTCTGCCTCCCCCTCCCCAGTTCCACCCCCTTCCTTTCCCAGAGAAAAAAACCATAATTTACATTTAGTCTTCATCATTCTCATGCATATAACTACTATAACTACAAAAGGAGGTATACAGAATTAATACAGAATTAATGGTTTTGCATGGTTTAAATTTTAGGTGAATTAGTTATGTTTTTTTCTAGTTTTTTTCTGAAACAAGCACTTGTTTCCCACAAAATTTTTAAAGTCATTCTTTAAGTAATAGAGATCTAGAATACACAGAATTTTGGGGGGCAGCTGCAAACAAGCTGCACAAGTTCAGAAAGCCAGGCCTCAGAGAAGATACTTAGCAATCTTAGGTGTTATAAAGTCAGAACCATAACTGCTTTCTTGGGTGGTCTTTGCCTTTGCCCTAGCACAAAAGCTAGCTCTGAATAGGATGTCTCTGTGAATGAAATGAAATTGACAGGACATTCTTGGGACAGGAATGGATACTGTAGAATTATTCATATTGGACCACTGCCCCTAAAAACTCTGTTTAGCAGGTTCATTTTCAAGAATTTACTCTAGAAATTTCCTACTCCCTCTTCTGCCAGAGCAAACAATCAATAATTAGCAAGACTTTGCCATGGCAGGTTCTCTTTAGCGTGGTGGTAAATGTGTGATTCAGAACATCATAATTCAACATTAAATTTTCAACTGAAAATAACAAAAATAGCCAGAGGTCTGCTATATATTTTCTATCTGTCAAGATGTCTAGAGTGTCCCATTTCTGGAAACTCTGAATTGAGCATCAAGTCATACTTACTGCATACACTTATACTGTGGTAATCGAAGCAGAAATAATTTTTAGACCATAAAGCTACTTACATGAAAGTGCAGTATAATTGTCCAAATCAGGCCAAGGATAATGGATGGGTTTCCATCTATAATATCAGTAACATGAATATTTATTAGCTTGATCTGGAAAAGAAGAAACAGAGGTTAAAAGGAGAAAATACTTCATGGCACTCATCTCTCCAATGAATTTTTACATGCAACTCATACTCACTGATCGTTGTTTTAGGAATGTCAGGGCATGTTCTATGTTGATTCTACACTGGAACGTATTAGATCCTTTATCTCGAGGCTGTGAAATTGAAGCAAAATACATTACTCAGAATGTGAAAACAAATTCACCAACAAAAGTTTATTGATGCCTTTTGAAATGCTTACCAACTGTTGTCCTGAGAGCACTTCTAGCAGGTCCAGCAGGACATGGCCCTTTTTAATGTCTGTGAACAGGTCTGATACAACTGAGGGTGGTGAGTGCTGCAAAAGGTCACAGGAAAAAGAACCATTCAGACTTTGGTCCAAAAGTGAAATACCTTTAAGAATCTTATTAATGTGCTTTGTGTCTTTTTAACAATATTTAGTAGGGTTTTTCTTTTCATTAACAGATTGATGAAGAGCAAAAACCTCACATCAAAAAAATGATAAGTAGTGAACTTCATCTATCCCAGGGCAAATTTCCACTAGTTCAACACACTCGGTTTTCCCTGAGTGCTTCCAACCTGTGCACAGAAGTGGCATGAAAGACATTCAGAATCAGGCAACAGAGACCCATTTGGAGAGCAGCTGACATTTCTGGAGTCACCTTTTAATGAATTCGCCCTATTCAGAATTAGAGCATTGTGCTGGATGAGCGCCTGTGAGACAAGGCTCAATCATGCTGTATCCAGGTTATTCCAGGCACTTGGCATCACTGAGAGGCAGGGTGGCACAGTGATTAAGGTCTCTGGTACCAGGCTGGCTGGGTTTAATATCCCAGAACCGTTATTTATCAGCTGTGTGATCTTGACTATGCCACATAACTTCTCTGTACCTTAGTTTTCTTGTCCTTTAAACAGGAATAAATAATATCCATCTCAGAGATACTGTAAAGTCATTTAAGTGTAAGTCATATTTATTCTACTTAAAGATCTTAGGAAAGGGTCTATGACACTATACATAAGAATTATTATGATGATTATTTCATTGATTCAAAGAGATGTTGCTGCTTTCAATGTTTTCATAGCACTGTTTCCTATATCCTTACCAAAAGCACCCTTTTTTCATGTTGGGAAAGGTAACAAATACATCAAAACAAGATCAAGGGTGAAGAGGCCAAAAAGTAAACAAGGAAAAAACCCATATATATATATATGAGTCCAATGCACCTATTCCCAGGATGCTTTTCTGCCTTCTGCCGCAGCCGACATGGAAGATATTGGAGGCATAACTCAGAGAAGTTATCGACTGCTAGTTCCACTGCCAACTTTCATATATTTATATATCTACATGTAAAAAAACAACTGTAACTCTTCCCCTCTAGTTGTCCATAAGATCTTCCAAGTAGGCAGATGTGGAAAGTATAAATGTTGCTATATTAAATTGATCTGGTATAAAAAACAAGTAAGTTCTATAATTATATCAAATTATCTATAAAGAAGGAACTATAAAAAAATCATTAAGTTATAAAAAAAGAAGGACAAGAAATGACATGGATGAAGACAGTGGGATGGTTGCAATAGGGCATCCTTCCATACTCCAGAGACACAAGTATACATGGCAGTGAGGAACATTTTCATGATAAATGATGAAATACACAATGAGTTTGCAACATAATCCTCAGTGGGTTAGAGGAAGGCTAATTCACTTATAATTACTAAGTAGAATATTTTGATACGTCCACTAGTTTGATATAGAAATGGCACATCATGTTCTTTATCTTTCTATTAATATAAATTGAAAATTAACTGTACCCTGGTGGCCCAATTACATAGATGAGAAGGAAACCTGCTCCACCAAGCTTTGGCGATTGTAAAAAAAAAAAAAATCCCAGAAGCTTCTAGTGGTGTGCAGTATGGCGGGGTCAATGGAGCCTCTGGTCTTGTGTCAACCGCCACATCTCCCTTCTTGGAAAGTGGGGTTGTTGGCCTGGTGTGATGCTAAGCAGGGTCCTGTGTCAGTGTATAAAGTACACAAAAAGTCCTAATGTCATAGCATTGACTGAGGCCCAAAAGACAGGAAAGGAAAATCACAGTCCAGCTTTTGTGTTAATTCTAGAAAGGTTGAATCTTTGTACATTCTAGGATTTAAAAAAAAAAAAAAAAGGTGGCCCTCCCTGGTGGCGCAGCGGGTTAAAGCACAGCACTGAGAATCTAAAGACGCTTCCGCATGAGTTCAATTCCCGCCTGCCCCGGAGGAGACCACATGGCGTGGCAGACCTCTCCTGACCCGCCCGCTGCTCCCCTCAGCAGTGTACTTCGTTGATCTGACTGTTCTGTTCCCCACTCTGTCTCTGGTGAAGCCTCTCACCGCCCCTGAGCCTCTGGCCTGTACCCCAGTTCTGTATGCACAAATAAATAAATCTTTAAAAAAAAAAAAAAAAAAGGCAAGAGGGAAGAAAGCAGTCAAGATCAAGGTGACCTTCAGCACATTCTTTCAACTCTCTCCATGTCACTTGTGCCACTTTGGGGACCAAAACTGAAGGAGTAGGAGGAATGACAAATGTATTTACAGCTTAATTTGCGCTTTCCCCTCACCTTTGCCAACTGTGAGTTTATCCAGCAAGTAAAGGTTTTCTTCTGTGTGTCTTCCTGCTCAGCTATTAAAAAAAGGACAACAGCAGTTATAAAGGAGAAGTCTCATTAACTACTTGAACATATCAAAGCTTCACAGACCTGTCAATGTTTGTGTGTTTGTATATGTGTGTGTGTGTGTTTCACACTCTTACAAGCTCTCTAGGACTTGTTCTAAATTTCAGATGTTCATCCAAAGGGTGTTTTGGAACAGCCTGTTGACATTATTTTTTAAAGTTTTAGGTTAGCTAACAAGACAACACTTTCTACTGACAAAAGATTTAATACCCCACATGAAATCCACAGACATATAAAGAACTCATAAACAGAGAGTTCTGAACCCAAAGGATTTGTCATCCTAGTCAAGCCAAGCAGCACTGAAGGATAGACCAGGAAATTTGAACACATTTTAAAACTGACAGTCCTGGCAGGGTAGTCTTGACACTTTTCATAGAGAATACTGCCACTTAGTTAACCATAAACTGCAACTACAATCAAGAGACCTGGGTTCAAACCCTACTTCTGTTACTGAGCAGCTGTGTGGTCTTAAGCAGCGCCCCAGTGGAAGAAAATAAGTACCACCTCTAGAGATTGGGCAAGAACCTAATGATTCACTTAAAGTGAATGGACTCTGGCACAATAAACACGGAAAAGGGCTTCACCCCCACTAGCCACACAGGAGTCCCGGGAAACCCAGAAATACTGGGAATGTGTCTTCCCTTTCTCTAGGGGGAAAGGCATGGGTCCCACACAGACACCCTGCTTCTCCACTTCTACACTCTCAGCTGAGCAGACATCCTCAACCTGAGGTCAAGAGTTGGCTCTGCACCCAGGACTGAGCTCCCATTTTCCCAGCTCTTCTCAGCCCTGTCTGGTAACAGTGAGACTCACACTCACTACTCCCTGACCCCAATCCTCACAGCCTTGCCACCTCTCCTACTTGATGTTAGCAGGCCTGAATTCACTGTGTCTCCATCTCTGCTTCTATCAATCAACACACACACATACTGCTTATATGTATACACATACCCCAGGCTCAGATATCCGTGTTCTTTCACTCTAATTTCCATAAAACTCCATATCTCGCAAAAGCTCTCATCTCCTACCTCTCCTTAACTGTCAAATTCTTTCTCTGATGATGAAATCCTTATACCCTCAGCAAATTCCCCTCCCTGGCACCACCCTTTCTGGGTAAGAGTTTCAAAAGCCAAAGGACTTTTGCACTAGCTGTTCTTTTCCCCAGGTATGTTTTTACAACAGATATCTCAATGAGTCTAATCTTATCACCTTCAAATTTTGGCACAAATGGTACCTCATCCATACTAGCTATGCTGACTATCCTCTTTAGAACTGCAACCACCACCACCCCCAATTCTAGTTACCTACCCACCCCCAACTCTTATTTTTTCTATAGTATTTGTTACCTTTTAAAAATCTTGTAATGTGTATAGCCATCCCTTCCTAACACAACTGTAATGGATTCAAATTGCTGGTGTGACATCTCAAATATTTTGGAGAGTTGAAAGTAAGAACAGAAAACACTAAAACTCAGTGGATGGAATTGTAGGGTAGTTACAGTTGTTACCAATTAGAGATTAAAGTTGGAATTAACCTTGTTGGCTCTTTTTTCTTTGTTTTAAAATTCACTTTCTCTATATTACCAGATTAAATTAAGTATAATCCAGTGAACACATTATAAGATATTTAATCATCATTAGTTGCGTTTTGACAAAGCAGTCTAGGTTTTGAAGAATTATTTGTTTCACATAAACTTAATTTAGCTGAAGAATCACAAAGAACCACAATTTTATACTGAAATTCAAAATGTTAGTAAAATCTCCAAGACGTAGAGATGGAGTTCACAGCCCACAAGATAATTTCTAAACATGTACTGACTCTTACTAAAAAATTATATTGAGGGATTGAGGGTTACTTTTGTTACTCAAAATAAACTCAAGGATCAAGTTACATATACATGATACACATTAATCAAGGTCATATGTAAAAAATGCATTGGACATACCTATTATTATAACAATAAAGCCAAAATTCAAAACAAACAACAAAAGTGGACTCCATCCTTAAAAGACTGAAATAAGTGTGAAAAAACAAATTAATCAGGAGTATCACCAGGTCTAAGGGCTAGAGCCTGCCTCAACTGTAGGGGAATCATACAGGGGGAATCACACAGGGAAGAAAAGACACCATTAAATAGCCATGGCAGGCAAAATTCTGGCATAAAACAGAGTGCAAGGAAAGCACTATGTGTCTGGGGAGTATTCCATGTGCACCTGGAAACCTCCTTCATTTGAACCATTTCCAAGTGGATGAGCAATCACTTGGCTTCCACGTGATGTTCAGTACTGAGCAAACTGAGGGCTGGGAATTTGCCTCAGCAGAGTAAAAAGGCAGCAAAACCAGGGCTCTGAATTGATGGTTCACATTGGGGCATCAATCTCACAGGAAATTAACACGTGGAATATAAACTTACTTTTAAAATAACCAAAAACTTTCCAATGAACTTTTGGCTTGATCCCTGTCCTAATTTGATCAAAATCTAGTAACAAAGGGGGAAAAAAATAAGAGCCTCGGTCAGCACAAATCCCCACTGGTGCTCTCCAGTTAACAAAGGAAGCTTTGCACAGATGAAATCTTCATGAAAGGGTTTAGAAAAGTAACTTCAGGGACTTTAACAACTGCATTGTCCAAGGTTTGAGGACACCTCTTCATCCTGGAAATCAGAACCCTTCAATTGCAATAAGGACCCTTTGCTAACAGCAAACAAATATGTCCCAGGAGCAATTAAACACCTTTGTAGCAGTTCAATTAAATGATTTCATAATGTTCCTTTTCATTTATCCCTTGACACACTTCTCTCACATTTTCACAGGGCCTCATCCCTGAAAAGCGCATTAATTCCACAGGAACCAGAGCCAAATAGCACACCCTCGGCAGAACTGGTAACCTTTTGTTCTTTTCAAAGACTACTCCATTGGAGGAAAAAACATAATTGAGAGCCACATGCTTTTAAAGCAACTTAATTTGAGGGAATGAGGTATTTTCTTTTTTTAACTGTTGGGTTTGAGTATTTTTAATTTCAGGGGTAACTTTCTAAGAAAATGATAAAATTCTTCTCAAAATAGCATGCAGATAGTAAGACCTTTTAATTAGCAGATCTTGTCTAGAAAAAGAGAAAAATGCCAAAAAAAGGAGAATGAAAAATTCTCAAAGCTGATTTTTAAGACATGTTTTATATGTATGTGTATATATATGCATATATACAAGTGTGTGTTATATATATATAAAACATACATATAACACATATTTTTGACTTTTTCTTACTGTATAGTAGTGAAAAGTAGAACTTTGTTCAGGTTTACAAAAGTTCATCTATAAAATAGAGGTGTGAAAATGTGAGCCCAAAGTCACACAGATACGTGAACAACTGCAGAGTTAGTATATGTATTAACAGCTACATGTAACATACATACAATAAATTTTAAAATGCTGACGCCAGCAGTTCTTTCATGTAGTTAAGAGTTCAAAGTTAGTTTTCCACACAGGAGAATCATTAAACTTTCACTTAAACACTGAGCAATGCTTTGCTACAATGTGGCTACTTCATAAATATCCTCTATTGTTTAGGTCACTAATGGAACATTGCAACCTCCTTCTACCTGGGAATTTCTCTTCCTTCTTTTCTAGCATAGAGTTCCTCCATAAGTGGCTCCAGACTCGTACTTCAATCTTTCACTCTTCTCATTAAAATCCTCAGATCATTCCCAAATTCCTTGATGAACGAATTATAAGTTCTTAACCTAACAGTCTTGGCCATTCATAATTTGAGTCCAATTTACTTTTTCCAGACCATTGCCCACACCTTCTCTTACTTTTCTAGCCAGAAGACCTTCAGTTCCCCACCGGGAATTCACTTTTTTCTGCGCTGTGATGCCATGCACCCGTTAGCATGACCTCTCCTTACCCTCTTCATTCACAGGAACCCCAGCACTCAGCACAATACACAGGGTGGGTCGTCAATGGACTCATGTGAAAACTAACCTTTTCTAAGTTGAAATGGAAATGATCTCTTCTAACCTCCTACAATTCTTTTTAGATCTTTTCTTCTTCTTGTTAGAATAATAAGACCATAATAGCCATAAAATGCTTTTTCAAACTGTGTAGAAAATAAAGGCGTTCTTCAAAGCCTCTGTTTTCCTTCCCCAGAGATATTAATTAACAGATTCCTACACATCCTTCTAGATTAAACATCTCAGAATATAAATTTAAAGAGGAAAGGTATTTTTTGATAGCTACTGGGTATTTAGTTCCTAGAACAATACCTGACATGTAAAAGGTACTCATCCAATATTTGTTGTATTAATGTACATGTGTTAATTGATTAGAGGAATACTTTTTTATGTTGATAATTCAAAAAGCTGAGATTTACATACACCACTTAAAGTTAAGAAGCATCTGATAAAATTATAAGGAAAATGTTCAAAGGAGATGAAAATCCGTCCAGGTTACCCAGAAAGAAAAATGTGTCTGTTCAATAAAAGAACCAAGTAGATATATATGTGCTCGTGTGGACACATCCTTAAGTGTTAAGGAATAAATTGTAAAAAAAAACATGTTCACTATGGCTCTACCTGTGTTTTTATTAAAGAAGAGCTGCATGGATAGCCCCATTTTGTGGTAATTACCACGTGCAGCTCACAATCTCTAATCATGTACCTGCGTGTAGGCATCTCTCCTACTCCACGTAGTTAATCCTATATGCTTTTGTATTTCTGCTTCCTCTTAGCACAGTGCCAGGTAGAGAAAAGGCACTCAATAAATATTTTCTGATGTAAAGACTTAGTAAATATCAACAGTATCAAGGATCAAACTGACCTGTGATTTTCTGGAGAACTTACTAGAAGTTAATTTATGTCTTCTCCTAATCATTGCTTCAATAACCTCCTAGCATTTTTTCCTACTAACAAACTGTCTTATACAAAAAGGGTATGTACTAAGGAGACTCAGT